GTACTAAATAATTTATTTTGAAACATGCTCCAAAAATCCTGTTCTGAATACAGTTCTAGCAGCAGCAAAAAGCTCTGCTAACTCAATTATCCCTGCCAATGAGAGAAGAAAATAAATATTAAATGTTTACTAAAAGTACATAAAATTTCACACATCACATTTTTTTGTTGCCTTCCATACTCATTCTTCTCACTCCCAAAAGCAAAGCTGAATTTATCCTTCTATTCCCAGATCAATTTTAATGCTTTCAATACCTATACATGTTTCCAGAAATACACAGAATGGATTTGTCTGTTTTTAAAATGTAAATAAATGCACCTAGCCAGTGTGGCTCAGTGGCTGAGCACTGACCCATGCACCAAGAGGTGACCAGTTCGATTCCCAGTGGGGGTTATGCAGGAGGTTGACAATCGATGTTCTCTCTCATAGATGTTTCTATCTCTCTCTCCCTCTCCTTTCCTCTCTCTCTAACATCAATAAAGAAAAAATAAATAAAATAAAATGTAAATAAATGGTATCATACTGTATCACACACACAAATGTTCCATTTCCCGGGCCGTACTGCTACATGCAGCCACCTGAAGCACAGATTTACCGAGGATCCGTGGCGAGGTCTGTGCAAGGACATCTGTACAATTCTTTAGTTAAGAACTTTACCATCGGGCCACTGGGTTATTTTGTAATTTCTGAATTTTCATTCCTGTCAATCATATCAACCCAGTTTCCTAAGGAAAATGTTTTTTAAAGCATTACTGATGTTTTTAAAATTTATTCTCTTAGTATTTTTTCAAAGTCCAGTTTTTTTCTCTGAAACTATGTGAAAATCAAATGTTCCTGGGTCTTGGAGAGTGGACTCCGTTATACTAGGAGCTACAGTCAAAGGAGAGTAAGTGAGCAGGGAAGGTAAAATAAGCTGGCTGGGAGGCTGGAGGGAAGGGACCAGGTCAACGTCATCTTTGACTACGAAACCCTAGTGCTAGAGATTTACAAGTTTTCTGCTACCACACTGTAGCAACCTTAAAAACGTCTGCCCTTGTCCCACGGGGTTTGGCTCAGCAATTAAAGTGTCGGCCGGCAGACCAAAGGGTTGCAGGTTCAATTCCCGGTCAAGGGCATGTACCTGGGTTGATTCCTGGCCCTGGTTGGGGTTGTGTGGGAGGCAATCAATTGATGTCTCTCACATTGATGTTTCTCTCTCTCTCCCTCCCTCCCTTCCACTCCATCTAAAACGCAATGGGAAAATGTCCTCGGGCAAGGATGACAAACAACAACGCCCTGCTCCCTCTCAGGGTTCGCCCTCGGACTTCCCAGACCTGGTGCATTCATCTGACGTCCCACAGTCCAGGGTTCAGATTCTGAAAGCTCACCTAAACCTCCCTCTGATAACTCTTCAAAACTAAAAAGCTTTCTATTTCTAACCACTGTGTTGCCTACATTTCATAATTATTGGAATAAGACTAAACTAAAATGCTATAGTTCTGAAGCATCAAGACATTATAACACAGAAAATCTCTGCGGGATTGTGAGACATTGCACTCCCGGTTAAGGAATCCACAGGGCTGAAGAAGGAGGGGAAGGGAGACTCACTTTTCAGTAATAACCTTTAATACCTTTTGTATTTTATACTATGTACCTCATGACCTATTTATAAGATATTTTTAAGATATTACAGTAAATAATATTCTAAGTACAGATGAAAATTAATAGGCCAATTATAAATTCAGTAAAGACTGTTGTTAAAAAGACTTTTCTAAAAGGTCTTTTTTGTGAGTATTTGAAGTGGAAATCTAATTTAATAATAAAATAAAGGTCCCACTTTAAATGTGAATCCTATTAAAACTGCCTAAGAACTATCATATCTGAATAGTAATATATAAAGCCAAAAACCATTAATTTAAAAACGATAACCACAACTTGGAATGACAAAAATGGTATAGAACTTTATTTTACTACATTTTATTCAAACACTGTTTAAACTTCACTTTTTTTCATATGTCTATGTGTATCTTTCATATGTATATACAGTACATTTTATTTTATTCAGGATATAAACCACCAAAAAAGAAAAAAAACGACAACCCTGAACTGATTATTTTCCCTCCAGATTCCATATGCTCAGGAAGAAACAGAAATGGCAATAACCTAATTGTCAAGCTCCCAGAACCACAAGCCGCAGCCCTCACAGACCATCACTGTCGGTCACGCCCCGCAGGGGTCACAGCAGTTGACCAGGGCAGAGCTGTCTCCAGGAGCCGTCTTCTCTACCTGGCAGAGGGGGCACGTTTTCTCCACTGTCTACCTAAGCTAGGAGACAAAGGATGATTCTGCTTAGCACTTTTTAAGCAGACAATCTTCTACATTTTGGGAAACATAAAATAAGAATGGAAAAATCATCAATGTGTACATCCTTAATTATGATTTAAGTAATTTTTAAACAACTAACATTTCTGTTTTAGAACATCTTTTCCTGAAAAAAAAAAAAGAATTTGAAGAAGTCAAAACCTAACTTCTTTCTGAATATACTTAAGATAAAAACCCAAATTCTATTCTAATAAAAAAGATAGATGACAAACTTTTCAGTATTTATCTTTGATCATTATGTTTGGTGAATTCTATAATCTTCCAACTACCAGAGATCACAGCTTTAAAATAAAAGTATTTTCTGCTGAAGGAAAAGGACACGGGACCCATTGATGAGAGGGGCAGTTCCAGTTCAAGTATTAGAACCAGTATATGATACGGTTAACTCTGATCTCAGCAAGAGACATTTGCTAAACATTTACAAATACCAAATTCTTCTTAGCTTTTTATCAATCAGGAAGTTCTTTGATCTTTAACCACATTAGCTGCTGTTCCCTAGAACCACCAGTTAAATGAAATGGTTATTAACTAGGCAGTCCTTATGTACTTGTTAAATTATCACAAAGCTAAAAGCAAGTTTCTCTGACTTCATCAGTACTTTTGAATGTCAACTATAAACAAGAAAATCTCGGTTGTTAAGCCTTTAATAAGTCCACGTCAGGTCATAGATTGTTTTCCATGTCCCTCGCCCATCCAGGTCCCGCTTCTCCATACTGGATTCCCAGGCACCTGTAGTACCTCCGGCCCACTCCTAGGCTAGTGGGAAGCCCATTCTCTAGTTAGTTACGTGTATGTCTATTAAGGAGTTTTTACTTACAAAATTTTATTTTAAATGCTATTGGTCAAAAACATTTTATTATATTAAATACCACTTGAACTTTTGATAAAATAAATCAGAAAATGCTCTCATACTAACATAAGATAAAGTACGTACATATTGATGGAATGCACCCAGAAACTATAACCTCATGTAAACCACTCCAAATTTTTCTTTTAACTATATACATAATTATATAGTCTAAACTGACATATACATAATTACATACTTATATACATAATTATGTCTAAACTGACATAAAGTAATCTAAATAATAAATTTCAATATCAAAATACAAGGTCACCAAATGTGCAGTCAGAGATGAAAATTCTCACGTTTCTTGACGATGTGTAACTACTGTAAAATGAAGCTGAGGCAAGGGGTTGTAACAGTACTACAACCTGAGTGCAAAATACTACCTATTTCACTAAATATGACATAAAACTGATTATTCAATTAAATACATAGTACTTTTTCACAGTGATAAAGCTAAGAAACTAACAACAAATATGGAAGGAAAGGAAGAGGCAGGAACAAAATAAAAGGAGGAGAATGAGTAAGACCCTGAATTGTCAAATCTGGCAGAAAAAAAAAAAAACACTGGTACTAGGACTTCTTACAACGCCACCAGTATCAAATCAAACAAAATCTATCACTAACAGAACAAGGCAGATAAAATACATTATCAGAAAAATAAGCAGAAAGGCCAAGAAAAATGTCTTTGATTTTGAAACAAGACACCTTGTGAAAATGCATCAAATAAACAAGGAAAATTTTTATCAAATCAGTAAGACCATAACAGTGACATTGAATAGATTATGATAAGCATGAAGTATGTGTTTAAGAAGACAGTGTTTGTGTTGTGTGTGTGTGTGTGTGTGCGAGTGTTGGGAGATGGTGATTATGCGCACAAAGGTGGCTAATCACATAAACAAGTTCACGATTAACAAACTATGGGTCTGTTATTTATCAATCCTAAGCTCTCATAAAATCTCCTATTTCTAAAATTACGGGGTTTTTCATCTGATATCATGGCCTGACACACACATCACTAAGAAAGCAATATGCTTTCACAAGGTATGTACATAATTCTCCAAAATCATTATCAGTAACTGGTATACTCTGCCTTGTCACAATAGTTGCTAATTTAAATAAATGCTGTTAAGTACTGAAAGTATGTTTGCCTCTACTGAAGTATGCATTCCCTGTCTTTTTGCTTATATGAACCTGAAAATAATGAGACTGGAGAATGTCTTCGGGGATATTTAAATTATTTTAAACAGAAAACTGAAACTTCATTCAATAAACATATTCCCAACTGCTACCATGTTTCCAGGACAAGCCATGCTATTTAGGAGCTAATAGCAGGGAAAACACCCTGTGCACCTCCTATCTCTATGCACCCAATAATAAATTATCACAACTCTGCCTAAAGTTTGCATGTTACCATTTAGTTTTAAAATTAAAAGAGTTTTTTAAAGTTTTTTTTCTTTACTGATTTTAAAGAGAGAGGAGTGAGAGGGAGAGAGAGATAGAAACACGGATGAGAGAGAACACCAATTGGCCACCTCCTGCATGCCCCTCACTAGGGATCAGGCCCACAACCTGGGCATGTGCCCTGACCAGGAATCGAACCGGCAACCTATTGGCACATGGGTCAACGCTCAACCACTGGGCTACACTAGCAGGGCTAAAATTAAAAGGGTTCGGTTAGTTCTCTTGTCACATGTCCTTTAACTGACTCGAGGCTCCTCTCATATTAAGCCTGACAACAACATAACTCGGCTCTGCCACAGTAAAATGACCTTTATGACCAACTTACACTACAGTTTTCAGGTGGAACCAGGAGTTGAGTGATCTCGCCACCGTGCACACAGAAGATATGTTTCATTTCTCCAGAAAATATGTCCCAAATTATGACCGAAAAGTCCACACCTCCAGATATCAGATATCTTTGATCATAACGAGCTGAGACCTGATGAGGATATAGCAAACATGTGACTTTGTTCCGATGACCACGGAGTGTTCTGTGAGGTGGCCAACCTGTGAATGAGGTTTTGGATTTAAAATGGGAAAATAAAAGTCTTACAAAGCTTCAACAACTAAAAATAAACATGAACTGTCAAAACAGCTATAAATTTCATCAAAGAAAAAGCCTCTGATTTTATCTTCTAAAACTGCTCTGTCCAGCCCAGAAGCCACCAGCCACGTGACAGCGAGCCCCTGAAGGCGCCCGTCCAGACTCACGTGTGCTGTGAATGTAAAACACACGTGAGATTTAGTCTTAGACTAAAATAATGTCAAATAGCTCACTGAAATGAAAATCGTTTTTGCCATATTGGGGTAAATAAAATATATATAAATATGTATGTATAAAATATATGTGTACATATATACAAACATATATATATATGTATGTATCTTTTTTATCGTCACCCGAGGACATTTTTTCGTTTTTTTGTTCAGATAGAGTGGGAGGGAGAGAGAGAGAGAGATTGATTGAGAGAAACATCGACGTGAAAGGGACACATCGAGTGGCTGCCACCCACACGACCCAACCAGGGCCGGGGACAAACCGCAACCGAGGTACATGCCCTCAGCGGGAACTGAACTCGGGTCTCTCTGGACCGCAGGCCGATGCTCTGTTAAGCCAAACCGGCCAGGGCTAAAGTATATTATTAAAATTCATTTTACCTGCTTCATTTTCACTTTTTTATGTGGCTATTAGAAAATTACATAATTGTTACACATATATATTTCCACTGGACAGTACTGTTCTAAAAGATAATCAGTATCAATGACAATAATGGTAATTATTTAGTAACCCATAGAGGTAACTATTAATAAGTGGAACTCTTAATATACATCAAGGAGATAAAACTGGATATGTCTTTATTCACGATCATTAGGCTGTACTTATTCCAAGACTAGGCACTGAGCATTTTATCATCTGCACATTAAACTCTATCAGCTACGTAGCACATTAACAATTACACTGATTCATTGTATTTGTTAAAAACAGCACGTGCCAACATTGTCCGTGTCACGGTTACAGAGCTCTCTCAACATGCTAGACACTGGAGAGTCGTCAGTATACCTCTTCGGAGCATGTGTTCCCCTTGCAGCAGCTGTACTATGGCAGTCTGTGTGGCAGGTACAATGATGATGCTTCCGTCTTCGCGACCACAGACAAGTCGTCCGTGTGCTGGTATGTACACACTTGCGGTTACTCTAAGCGGTTCATTACTGTTGGGAATCACACTCAGCTGATCTATAATTCCAGCAGGATAAGGATCGAGCCTATCGAATGCTTCTTGCAAACTAACAGAAGTTGTTATTTCCAACCCTGTGGAGGTTTGGTTTTGTATAAAAGAAAAACAAGGTGTATGTTAGAAAAAATTTTTAAATATTAAAATAAAAGTGCTTATAGTTGATTTAGTAATATACCAAAGAAAAACTGTCATCAATTATAATTTCAATAAGAAAATGGTATATGACATTATGAATTTGTTGTTCAGTGGTTTGTATTTAGATTGTTAAATTAAAAGAATTAAGAAATTGCTGTACCTGATTTACTATATCCTTCTTCACCTTCCTGCTTATCAGGTGTGTCTGATATGTTCCAAATATTCAATCTTCCAGAAGAATCCCCCTGAATTAACAGTTTATGGAAGTAGTCCCTGGCTCCATAGAAGAACCGAGTCACGGGAGGACAAATTAGCAACTGAAAAAAATTGTTCAAATACCTTTAGCTATCTTTTTAATCAAAATATTTCATACATGAACATTTTTCAGATAAGGATGTTAAGTACTTTTCCTCACTACAGAGTAATAACTGTGTTTATAGCATGAGTATTGAACAATATTTCAATGTAATTTTGTAGCATTGATGTACATGTCTACTAATGTTCAAATCCAGTATAACACTAAGAAATAAAAAGTACAGTCTTTCTATAGAATTATTATTTATATTCTTTTTTGCTGCTTCATAAAAACTGATTAGTAACCATAACAATGCAATTAACTTGTCTGTTATTAAATAATTAATATAAAGACATACCATATTTTATGAAAAATAAAAGTCTCCCTTCAAAAGGTCAAAAGGGGAGAACTGGCTAATCCCAGCCTTCTGCCCGTTCCTGATTAGTCACTAGGAATAGCAGCAAAATTAAACTACCAGGCTGTGCAACTGGAGGACTGCATTTTTAAAAATAAGTATATTCTTCAGCCAATAGTATAACATTTCACTTGGTCACATTTACATAATCAATTTGAACCTAGCCTGATATGTTAGCTATAAACTACTAGGAACAAAAACTATTCATTTGGGTCATTTTAAAACAAACTATTTTTCTGCTTAAGATCTTGTGCCTTCAGTGAGATCATTTATTTGAAAATTCTAAATAGTGGTAGGATCCTAAAATTAAAGTTGATAGTATTCATTCACAGATACCTGCATATTAAAACACAGAATCTTATCATGAAAAACAGTAATAAAAAGACTTCAGTTTTGACAATTAGAGTTAAGAAATAATCTAATTACTGTGTTTGGTATTAACTGTTTTTTTAAAAAGCACTAGCATAAATAATTATTTGAGTTTTCTTAAATTCTGAAAATCACTATAAGTTTCAATTGATAACATGCTGAACAAGGAGAAGTTGCTACAACAACTATAATAACCAATATTCTGTATTTCAACACACAAGTATCTCACTCCACGTAATAATATATTTTAACTTAAAATGCACTGGGGAGATATTCATAGAAACATAAAATGTATTTATTTTGTTTTGTGTATATTTTTTATAAAATCATTATCCCTTAATTTTACTGGAAGTGATTTCTAGGTTAAAGAACAGAAAGTAGAAGTTTAAGAGAATAAAGGATAGGTCATAGAAGATCTTTAGTTGTCCATATATGTATACATTCTATATATTCAACATATTCCTGGGAAACAATAATTCCCTTTCCCTCATCATCCCTCCACATAAAGATGGAACAAAATTTTCAGAATGAAAAAGCTGTGGAAACCCATTTCCAAAACCAAAGCTTCTTTCTTACTAGTGAAAACCTAGTACTAAGAGTTGAAATCACAGAACTAAGTGCTGTTGTAAGTTTTAAGAAATCATAATAGTCTTCAGTTTTTATAGAGAAAAATTCCTTTTCTTCATTTCTCAACTCTAATGATTTACATCACTACATGATTTTTGGGAGATCCCACAATACCTTCTTCAAAAAATGAACTGTGATTAGTGAGCATTATTACATGGTGATCTTTGAGTTTATAACTGCATGATAGTGTTACATAAATTTACACCATCAAGATGAACTTTATCAAAAAAGTAATTTCCTGTACATAATCAGCATTAGATCATTTGTATTCTCAGAGAATGGTGAATGCTATTTTATACATATTATGTTTAAGATATGCAAATATTAAAACTGTACTTATAAATGACCATGTCAGTGTTTCACAGGTCTAACGTGGTACCTTGAATTACAGTAAACCTTTCAAACGATTAGCTACCAAAAGACAAAAATATATACAGTTATTAAAATTTTTCAATGTAACTATCAATTATAAATGCTACCTGAAGAATTTTACCTCTTTGTCTGTTCGATCCAAGAGGCTATGTTGCACCGGAGGAATTAAACTGTCCACGGCTTTCCCCACATCGCTGCGGAAAGAGTCACTCGCTGGAAGGCAACTGACAATGAGAAAAATACCACCTGGAATTAAAATGCTGACACTAACAATCCTGTCAGGTCCTATGATGAGGCTTTGACATGAACAAAAAATAGATTTTTAAATTAGAGTTAAATTAATTTAGCATTAAATTAAATAATGAATGTAACCGAAATATCCTATTTCACATAAAAATCCACCAATTTTTAGAAATCAAACTGGAATTACTTATCTAACTTAAGAAGTTCTGAGGGTTTTGCTGTTTTTTTGGTTTTTTTTACCTGTATTAAATATTTATACTATATATCTTTTCATACTCTCAGGTTATACCCCAAATTCAGAATCTTTTGCTTTTGATTAAAGTCCTAAGTTGTTATTTATTGAATACCTGTTAGGTAGTTTGTAAATGTAACTTTGTCCATTTTCAGTCCAAATGATTACTTTATCTGCTGATACAAAGTCACCTCCAGTCCATGTCTGTCCATTTTCACTAGGACCTGAACACAGCAGGGAATAGTCTCCAGCATCAAATACCTACAAGGAATAGGAAATTCACAATGCCGTCGGTGTTGGTGTCATTTAAGTAAGATACAGAGACATTCCAACTAAAAAAAATAAAACTTCTAGGATATATTGAACAAACTCAGGCCTTTCAAGTTTGCTCTCTCAGTTAAAGATATTTTGTCAGTGAGCTCAGGGCACAATGACCTTCAACAGGGAAACACAAGTAGGAGCCCAGCTGTCTGCAGCAAAGCAGAACAATGGAGCAGAGGTGCTCCCCACACAGAGACAGGAACCCTTAGCCTCTTATCTAGAGTAACCGGGAACAGAATGCATGGTATGACTCCTGTTCTATTTCTATATCCAGTAACATTACCAACCATTAGGTTTGACATCAGAATATCTCCTTATTAAAAGGGGGAATTACCTTACTTTACCTTTTTTCATCAAAGTTCCTCCAAAACACTGTAAATAGGAAGTTAATAGACTCAGTTTTATTATTTAATAATTCTCACATATAAACGCCCCTATAATTTCATCAGCAACACAGGCTGTTAGCCTTCTGGGGCCCTCATTCTCAGATGACCCTTAGAATCACTGCAGGAAGCAAGCAGACAGGTATGGCCACCCCATTTACAGACAGGAAACTGACACAAATAAGGGCTCCATCGCCTGCTCAGGGTCATGTGTCCAGTCAGTGGAACTAGAACTAAAACCCCGGTCTTATTCCTAGCAGAATTTTCCTCTCTACCACTTTCAATATTTGATAAAAGCACATTCTACACTGCTGGAAAATATCCCCAGGAGGAATGAGTAATTCAATACCCCAGAATTTTTATTTTATTTTTCTCTAAAGAAAAAAAATTAAGTTGCTTGTGCAGAGCCTTGAAATTAGAACAAATCCTAGCTGAGTTCACCATGACTTGCTATAATACTTATCAGTATATAACATTAGCATTGCAAGAATAGGCAAGGAGAGGCCAGGAAAAAATAATAAAGGGAGACCAGGCCTCCTGCCCTGTTGTCTACTAAAACAGAAGATAAAGCTAGAGAAAATAAAACAATACTAGTGTATGAACAGATCGACAAATCAAGTCTGGAAACAGATTCAAGTAATACAGAGAAAAAGTATATCAGAGAGGCACAAGAATAGAAAAATAAATTATTCAACAAGTGGCATCAGGAACTGGGGAGTTCATCTGGAATAAAAGTGAAATACAATTTACATCTCAAAATTTATATAAAGTTTATTACTGATTAAAGATTCAAAGGTGCCCTGGCCTGTTTGGCTCAGCGGTTAGAGCATCGGCCTGCGGTCTGGAGAGACCCGGGTTCGGTTCCCGCTAAGGGCGCGTACCTCGGTTGCAGTTTGTCCCCGGCCCTGGTTGGTCGTGCGGGTGGCAGCCACTAGATGTGTTCCTTTCACATCGATGTTTCTCTCTCTCTCTGTTCCTCTCTCCCCCTCCCACTCTACCTGAACAAAAAATGGAAAAATGTCCTCGGGTGAGGATAAAAAAAAAAAAAAAAAAAAGATTCAAAGGTATATAAGATAAAATCATACAAACATAAGGAAAAAAGAAAACAGTAATTATATATATATTTTTTAATCTCAGCTTGTGGTGAGCCCTGTAGAACATGTCACAAACTGTTTTAGGGACTATACAATAGAACATGATAATTTAACCATATTAAAATTAAAAACTTCTTTATGGCAATAAATATACAAAAATGTCTTTCTGGTGGGTTGTAGTACTACCTAGTGTTGTTTAATATGCATTTCTCTGATGATTAGTGAAGCTGAGCACCTTTCTCTACTTTTATTGGCCATCTGGCTTTCCTCTTTGATAAATGTTTTTGTTGTTTTTCCTACTCAGTTGTATTTTGCATCTTGATTTGCAAGAGTTGCTTTTTGATAAATAATAGACGAGTCCTTCATCGCAAGTGCATACTGTTTCTTCTCTCACTCTCTGGGTTGGCTTTTCACTCTTATGTATGCATTTAAGAAAAGGCTGTTCTTGCCTGGCTGGTGTGGCTCAGTGGTTGAGCATCGACCCATGCACCAGGAGGTTGCCAGTTCGATTCCCAGTCAGGGCACATGCCCAGTTTGTGGGCCAAATTCCCAGTGAGGGGCATGCAGGAGGCAGCCAATCAATGTTCTCTCTCACTGATGTTTTCTTGCACTGTTTTTTATTATTACTATTTGCGTGTGTTTTGAATTTTAAGACAAAGGAAGGACCACATATAGCTCACTATAAACTAAGCAGCTGCTAGCTTTTCCATTTAACCTTATTCTGAAACAGTAGTGGTGCAGAGGATGAAGATAAGATACTGCTGACTTGTCAGTCCCTTTACCACACAGCCCTCCCCTCTAAGGCAGGATAGCCTGGTAGTAATGAGAGCCATTGCAACCAGACTACCTGAGCTGTAATCCAGCAACTCCACTACCACTTTAGAACCTTGGTCCAGTTATTTATCCCCCTATGTCTCAGTTGCCTAATCTGCAAATGGGGAAAGTAACAATTCCTACCGCAGTTGGCACCCTCTGGGACCACAATGTCCCTGACTCCTGGCACGCACGCCCTTGGGTGATCCTCTCTGCTGAGTGTAGGCTGGGTTTTGTGATGGTTCTAGACAACTGAATGTGGCAGAGGCGATGAGATCTCAGTTCCAAGACTAGGTAAGTCTTGGCTACACATTCTCTTGTGCGCTCACTCTGAGGAAAGACAGTGCCCATGTTGTGACCTGTCCTATGGAGAAGCCCACATGGCAAGGAACGAGTCTCCAGCCAACAACAGTCAGGAGGACCCGAGGCCTGCCAACCACCATGCGAGTAAGTTTTGAAGCAGATCCTCCCCGAGGTGAGCCTTACGATGAGAGAGTAGTCCTGGCCAACACCTTGACTGCAGCCTGTGAGAACCCCTGGGCCTGCTACCCAGCTAAACTGTGACGGGTTCCTGACCCATAGCTAGGGTGGGGATACATGTATGAGATAGGTGATGATACATGTCTGTGGTTTAGACTGTGTTTTGGAGTGTTTTTTGTTATACAGGATTAGAAACTAATACACCTCCTCTCTGAGTTGTAAGGATTAAAAGAAATAATACATTTGGTACAAGCGGTCAAAGCATGCTCTTTTTCTTTATGAAAATACTCGAGTCTGGCAAAATGGAAGTAATGTATCCTTCACTGGCTCCGAAGTGATGAAGGAGACCTCCCTGACCCCAGACGCCGGAACAGAATGGCAACTGCAAATAATAGCAACCTGCAAAGATAAGTCAACCTGCAGAAAACTCACTACCACTGCTTATGTTATACTGACAAGGTAATGATTAAAACAGGAGCAAAAGGAGAATTAAAATCAACAGAATAATCATTAACAAACAAACAAAAAAGATAACTATGTATGGCCAAATTCCAACACCTCAAAATACAATACCCAAATCACACATGAATGCCAAATGGTTAAAATATTCTTGCACCAAGCTTTTCCTGACAATTATCTGTGTGTGCCCGATAAACCAACACCCGAAGGGTAAAAATGGGCTTCTGACTATGTATTATCTTACCCTCCAATATTTGGAGCACACAACTAGAAGTGACCTTTGTGTGAACGCACAAAAGGAGATGCTTTGGCAATTCTGACAATGAATTGGTTTGGATTCCTCCTCAAATATTGGCTCTGTATCCTGAAAAGAGAAAGATATGCAAAATTTTAGAAATGGCTTGGTTGTCAGTTAAAATTATCCTACGATGATAAAGAAAAAAAAATGACCCTGGCAGCTGTAGCTCAGTGGTTGAGCATTGACCCATGCACCAAGAGGTCTCCGGTTCAATTTCCAGTCAGGGCACATGCCTAGGCTGTGGGCCCAATCCCCAGTGGGGGGCATGCAGGAGGCAGCCAATCAATGTTCTCTCTCATCAATGTTTCTATCTCTCTCTTGTTCTCCCTTCCTCTTTCTAAAATCAATAAAGCAAAAAACTTTTTTAAAAAATGAACAAAAATTAAATAAAGACAGCACTTGATATGGTTATGATTTTAGCCCTGCATGTGAGAACCAAGGCTGTAAGAAGCAATAAACATATATTCTAAAAGCACAGGGGTATGACATCTTTGCCACAAAGCTACTCAAGGTTAAAGTACTGATGAGAATCAGTCTCATCACTCTGGCCATAACAGATGATAAAAGTTTTTTAGTCAAACCTAATTTTTGTAGCTATATGTACTTTAAAGTTTTTAAAAAATACAACCGATCAATTCCTCTAGTTTCTCCCAGATTCAATGTCTAAAAATTCCCTAGCCGAAGAGATTAGCATCAATATTGTCAGAAAATTGATCACCTTTCTTATAAAAAGTAACAAGAAATTCAAGCCCAAAGTAAAAAGAGAGAGGACTAAAATTGGCTTTATATACTTTTTGTGCTGGTTTGCTTTAATATTTTTCCCTAGAGTAAACTACCGTTTAACTTTTAACTTAAGTAGAAGCAATTGAGGAAAATTACACCTCTTCTATATGTTTCTACTTCCTATTCTGTGCAATATGTTTCTCTATTTCTGCCCTTGATATAGCAAATGTCTCCCATAAAAAGTGAAAAAATCAATTCAGTTAGAGACAGCATTCTAGGGATCTTCTATACTATGTCAACAAGACTATTTAAACAGATTAGCTTTTCCCTTCCCCTTTAAGAAAAGAAGGCACACATCCTTACTAAAATTTAAGGGTCCATAAGAAGGGAAATTAATTCCAGTCTCATTTGTCTCACCTGCATGCCACTTACTTCAGAGGTGACAATCCACACCTTCAGGATGCCCGTCACTGAGAGGGCTACCACAGTGTCCTCTGAGCCAAGAGGGGACAAAATGCCACGTTACAAATACAATACTGTTTCTAAATAGTAATACGGTCACAACACTCACATGGAACAGGGTTCGCTTTATTAAATTAAATAACAATATGTTTTACAATTGGCATAAAAACATAATTCTACATTTCATAAAATAACAGAAACCAGATTTTGAAACATAATAGAGGTGACCAAAAATCTGGAATTCAAGGACAAATTGTTTCTAGCTACTTGAATTTTTTAATTTATAATCAAGTTTTTAATAATTTCAAATGTTCTTGATCACTATGTTAACAAAGAAGTTTTATCTTCCAAACTCATAATTTTTAATTATTTATCAGGGAGGAGCAGACACTTTATTTCTTCGTTGTTTACCCACTTTCCCACTTGCCTTCTAGATATGTTACTGCACATTACACCCTCCACAGACTTTGATCAAAAGAAACACATAATATAAAACCTAAATTCATAAGCTTTGGGTAAAGGAGCAAACACACCAAGAACTTCCATTAAATTTAACTGTGCAGAATTCCATTCCTTTTCATTATCTGCACATAAAATGGAAACACGTCTTATGCCTCTTAAGCAAGTGACAAAACCAGGCCCAAGAAATGCACAGGTGAAACTGGTTCCTCTCATCTTGCAAGGGTTAAGATAGTCATCCTTCCCTTCAGAAAATCACCCACACACTCTAAGACTGCCAAAGCCAGTGATCTGTTCCATGGACTGGAGATAATCTAACACATTAAACCTTAACCCAATCAAAGACTCCTCTATGAAAGTAGAGACAGACCACACATTATTAGTTGTTTCTTAACTAGAAGAATATATCAATATGTGACACATTATAGAATTCTATAGTAAATTAACCATTAAGTCATGGTGCTGAAGTTCCTACAGGCACCACACACTGACCTTGTGTTCGGTGGGATCGAATAATACTCATGGAGCTAATCCAGTCTGGAGATATCTTTGATACTAAGGAGTATAACACCTCAAGGCTGGTGGCATCCACAACAAGGATTTCAGGATAATGGCCATGGCATAAAAGCCTTCCTTCTCTCTGATTTCCAACAGAGAACTGATAGAACTACAAGGAAAAAGATTGTAAATGTTCTTCTTTACTTAAGATACTTGAATCATATGCATTCATCAAGCTTATTATGAGGATCAATTTCTTCAGTAATGCTTCTCAACATGTAATATATGGTCTGTGTTATATGTCTATGTATACACATACACACACATCAAGTTATATTACTATTTCAAAATAATGAACATTATTCTTTTCCTAACATCTTATCCTCCCCTTAGAACTACTTTGGAGAAGTCATGATAATTCTTTTTATCTTCCTGCAGGATTGTTGAATGAATTAATAAAACACCTAAATAAAATCAGCTTCACAAATTAAAGCAAAGGGAAAGTTCAGGTGGGTCACAAAATAATATGAATTTTAGATGAGTGGGACTAGGTGAGTATAGGATTATAATTACTAGTTATGACCAAATAAAATTTAGAAGTAAAGATGACCGCTGTTCAAACATATTATATAATCCCAGAAGTAAATTCTGATTAATCTAAGTGTGCTATTTCCAACTAGAGTATGAGACAGCTTTGTTAAGCATTCTCACAGTACACACTGACACTTGGTGGAAGAAAAATAGAAGAAGAAACAATACAATCACGATCTACATGTTACTCATGCCGAGAATAACTCCAAGGGATAAGATCAGTTTCCATGAACCAAAAAGCAAAGGAAGAGTAACTACCAAAACAAGACCAACAGCTTATCAAAGGACCTATCTTCCCTTAGTCTCAAAATATAGCAAGTCTCTTAGTAGAATGATTCTCCTATAGGGTTTTTAGAAGGTAAAGACATCTAATATCCAGACTACTACTTCCCAAGGACTGGACCTTACACGAATCATGTGAGGACAAGCTAGACAGCACACAAAGGGCAATGCTGTAACCACTCCAACTGAGACATTACTGGGAAATCTGGGTCCAACCTGCTCCCACACCCATTAGCCCTGTTCTCAGAGCTCAATGCAGTATGTGAAGAAACATAATCTTTTCTCAAATACGGAGTACCCTGTATAAAAAGGACTATAATTGCTTCAACATAAACATTGATCATGGAGCACATTAAGTAAATGCAAGGTAGCACCACTAAAACTTTACGAGAGGATGCAATAAAATGCACACTGGACCTTGGAAGGTTGATTCAAGAAACATGACACACAATCTGGAGGTCTCAGAGACTGCCAGGCACTCACATGTAACAATGTGACCGTGGGTAACCTTGACCCATACAAGGGGAGGATGTGTCATGGAGCCAAGGGCGGGTGCAGAGGAGCAAACTCTGTCACTATTCATCCGACACCAGCCAGGAGAGCCACGTGCACGGCAGTCACTAGAGAAGAGCTGTCCTGAGCCCTGCCTGACGAGATGCCTCTCACCTTTGGTTCGAGGTTATGCTCTCAAACAATCTTTTGAACACTAATATGGCTTCTTAGACATTTAGATACTGGCAAAGAAAGTGTCCTGAATGGAGAAACAAGTTTCCAAACATTAAAAAGGGATGCCCTTTTTTTCAGGATAATTTAATAAGTTGGCATTGTTTTGTGATTTCTAAGTGACAGTGTCGCTAAGGTTTACCATTTCTCCATACATAAAAAAGGCCTTGCTTCTGGATCTGAGAGGATGCGGATCGCACAGGAAACAACTGTCACACACTAGTAAACCTGCCATAAAGCACCTTCTACTTAGAGATGGCTGCCAGTGTAAATGCAGAAGGCCTAATACAGGATCTGATAAATAGTAGGCACCGAAAAAATGTTGAATATGTAAAGATAATTTTTCCTAAAATGTAAACCAAATGTTTTTAAATCATAAAATTATGCAACAGTCAAAATATTTATATCCAATGAGTTCAAGACATTTTATATAATTTTTCAATTAATCAATAAAGTCAATGACTCTACATCATTTTATTACCCCCTTTCTCTCTATAAACCTTGATGGTTCTTCATATGACAAAAAATAAATAAGATATGCCCTTTAAACAAAAAAGTATGCATCCTAACATGGTTGGAAAAGAAAATTTGCAAAGGCTTTTGCCAGGGCAAGAAATCATCACAACAGACCTTTAGCACACTAACTACTAGCCTTCCCTCCCCTAAACATATTCCATCCCTTTTCTAATTTGTGTTGGCATAGAAGGTTTTTCCTGCAACAAATAATTGTAATTGGGGTTTTGGGTGCTTTTTTTAAGGGAGACAGTATGATGTAACAGATAGAACAAAGTCCCTAGAGTCAGATAAATCTGATTTGGGATCCTGGCACCGGAACGACTCACTGTGAGACCGGGGCAAGTCATTTAATCAGTCTGGGTCTCAATTTCCTTTTATGTAAATGATACACTCATATTTAATGCATAAGGATGTAGGAAGGACTAAATAGAACATCATACAAGAAATGTTTATACAATATTTGCTCAATAAATGTGAGTTTTCTTCTCTTCCCTCTCCTTCCCCACTGAGAACATAAGTCATATTTTCTCTATACTTGTAATTTTCCCAACACTCAACACAGTAAATGATGAGTTGATACAAGCACAGAGATCCTGACAATTATAGAAGAATAAGAAAGAATACTAGAAATGTAGGATGGAAACTATACATTCTTGTGTAAGCCAGGCACATAAAATGGTCATTTCTTGTACAGAGTTGGAAAGTCAAAAAATGTACTAAGGACCGACTACACAAACAATTAAAAAGATATAATCTGTAAAGTGGGTCAATTTGTGTCAATCATGAATGGAACCATAAAGGCTTCAGCAAGAAAGAATCGCCTTAATTAGGATCCAGAGGACTTATTGGCCAACCAGCTCTCACTTGGTACCCAGGACGGCCAGAAAGGGCAGAGAGGTAGTGGCAATCAGCTTACTTTACATCTTTCCCCATTAGTCTCCTCTACTTTATCCCCCCCACCCCCACACTATATCATCGTGTAAGGGATGCTTTTGCTATTCTAATTCTAGTCTTCTTGTCATACCACCCAAATTTCATATAAAAATATAGGTCACTGTTTAAAAAACATTTTTAACTGTACACCTGTAATAATTGTGCTGACTTAGGCAGTTTCACAAATTGATACTCACCTGTATGCCAGTATGTGTGCAGGCTAATTTTGTAAATTCAATACATCTGCCATCACTCACATCCCAGAGACACATCTCTCTATAAAACAAAATAAGAGCTAACTTGAAATCAGATTTTTGTCAACTCTGTCACAGTGGTTTAAAAGCAATCTTCCAGCCCTGGCCAGTTTGGCTCAGCGGTTAGAGCGTCGGCCTGCGGTCCAGAGAGACCTGGGTTCGGTTCCCGCTAAGGGCACGTACCTCAGTTGCAGTTTATTCCTGGCCCTGGTTGGGTTGTGTGGGTGGCAGCCACTCAAAGTGTCCCTTTCATATTGATGTTTCTCTTTCTCTCTCTCTCTCTCTCTCTCTCTCTCTCTCTCTCTCTCCCCCTGTCTCTCTCTCTTCCTCTCTCTCCCTCCCACTATATCTGAACAAAAAATGTCCTCAGGTGAGGATAAAAAAAAAGACTAAAAGCAATCTTCCATTAAAACTGGTATATTTCAGAAGAAGTAGTGCATAGTCATTATTGCTATTCATTAAAGATTCTGATCCTCCAACTCACCATCCCAACCTCCTTTCCAACCTGCCCACCCCACCCTGACCCACATCCTCTCTGAGCACATGGCAGGACCGCACTTCCCAGCTCCCTTTTGGTTGGTGAGCACTGTGAGTAGTTCTGGCCAGAACCACTGCAAGGCCCTAGAGAACATTCTTTCTGCTCCTCTCTCATTCCAGATACTGGCTGCTTCAGACAGTGGTTGCTCCCTCAACCTCAACCTCAAAGTTAGGATAATAACAAAGCAGAGCTGAGCCTCAAGTGATATACAAGGGGCAAGTGACAAAAACAAGAAGTGATCTTTTCATTTATATCATTGAGCTAGTTATCAACATAGCTAGAAACTTTAGCACTGTAGAAAAACAAATAAAAATTCAAGTTTACTGAATTCCAAAACTTTTCAAATTAAATATAATATTCCAGTTTTGAGTGTATTTACTGTAGAAGTTTTATGAAATGTATACAAACAGAAAAGCTTGTATGGCAAACTAAAGACACAACATTCAAAATCAGAAGTGTCAATACCTTGTCTTTTAAAGAAATAAACTCAAGTTTTATTTAACAGAAAACAACATTACTAAAGTGCACTGGTCCTGATATTATCAGGGTTTTCTTTGAAATGCCCTTTCCTATATCTCACATAGTATGAAACAATTTACCAGATAAAGCTCCATCTATTTAGACTAGGCATTCTAATGTGAGTCATCCTTTAATTGACCAAAAGGAACTATATTTTTACCTGACGCTGCCTCTTCTTGTTCTAATCAGTTACACAGGTTCTTTTCAAATTCATAAAATTATAGGGAGGGTGGAGAGACCACTTCTTAAATAGTTCTCTTCCAGTTCCCCAACTCTCTTCAATAACATATTATGTAAATATACAATTTTCTAAGCACCAAAAAGTTTTAAAGCTTCCATACACTCTGGACCCTACTACTGTCCAATGACCTATCTTTGCAAAAGCAAATTATATTCTGAGACTTAGCAATATGAATGTTTACATTAGTGTGTTAATATATATCAGTATAACTGTACAAATTTTGACATGGTTTCAGCTTCCAAATTTATGCTAGCCTAGTATCATCAGGTTTTTTAAATTTCTCAAAGTTGCCAGCCGACTCAGTATCAATGCTGTGGGGATTAATGGGCAGCTTTAACTTTTATGGTATTCTGAGTTTCTCAGAAGCAAGGCAAAGATATATGCATAACCAACGGACACTGACAGTGGTGTGGGGAAGGCAGGAGGGGGCGGGAATTAGGAGGAGGAGTCAATGAGGAAAAAAGGGAGAAACATCTGTAACACATTCAACAATAAAGATGAGTTTAAAAACAAAATCAAGGCAAAGACTATTATAATGATAATTATAATAAATTATAATAATAGTATTAGAAAATCATTAATAAAGATAAAACGCACATTTTAAAACCACATTTTCAAATATCTTTCAATTTAGACAACTGAAGCATTTATTTAAAAGATACTACAAAAGAAAATAACTTCCCTATTTACTAATATACTGGTACTATTTGCAATAAACACTTATGAGAAAAAAGTGAATAAGAAAATACTTACCCACTTTCAGATGCACTCACAATATACTGTTTGTCACTAGAAGCACAAGCTTTAGACAAACAGGTGATCGAAGCTGTATGACCAAATAACAATGCACGAGGATTAACCTAGAAATACACAGATATATTGATATGAGTACCAAGTCTTCAAAAACAAATATTTTTTTAAGGAATCCCGTTAAATATTCATATAAAGATGTATATTTGAGAAGATTGCTCAGAATTCAAAAACCAAGAAAAATAAAACAGAGTTTCCCACCTATGTAATGCTCCCAATCACCCTCCCAAGCAGTTCTGAGGGTGAAACTGGAACTCCGAGACATGACAGACAGACAGAGTGACGGAGCCGGGATTCAAACCTCAGCGGTCGGTCTTTGCCTCTACGCTAGGGTATACTGAGAAATTAGGTTAAGGATGTAAATTAGCACATAAAATCATTTAACCTCACTTATTTTTTAAATAGCTTCACTGCTCTAAAAATACATTTAGAGTATCCACCTTTACTAATATCATCTCTCTAGGTACTCACAAAACCACCGTTTCTACAATTTCTCTCACACATTTTATCGCCACTATGTTAGACCAGGGTGTGCTTTTCACAGGTAAATGGAGACCAAGATACAGATGGCAAACATTCTAGCTACTGTTTTGAATCCTTCCCTAGCAAAAGAAGAAGAGATGATGCCATGAGCTCTAAAGAAGGCATTTTGAGCCCTTCCTCTGAATGTTACATTTCTTCTTGCTGGTCCTTAATAGCAGCTTCTAAAAAGTATAACACTTAAGACAATACTTAACAGTGTTATAACACTTAACACAAAAGTGTTAAGAAACACTTTTCATATATACTCCATATATATGAAAAGACAATACCCCAAGCCATCTTTAACTGAACTTTCTTTAGCCCTGGGTAAGTAGTCCAATTTCTTTAATATATGTCAAGAGATATATTTCTCTCCTAGCTGCCTCACCCAATTTCTCACACCCCCCTCATCACTTTTATCCCTCTTACTTGAACTTAAATAAATATAACATTCTAGTGAAACCTATGCAGTAAAAATTGTTTCTGCCAGCCTTTGCGGTTCAGTGGTTTGAGCATCATCCCATGGAATGAGAGGTCCTGGGTTCAATTCCGGGTCAGGGCATATGCCTGGGTTGTGGGCTCGATCCCCAGTAGGGGTTATGCAGGAGGCAGCCAATGTTTCTCTCTCACATCGATGTTTCTATCTCTCTCTCCCTTCCTCTCTCTCGAAAAAAATCAGTAAAATCATTAAAAAAAAAAAAAGAATTGTTTCTAAAGTCTCACAAATTAAATCTTAACTGCTTACAATCATTCCAGTAAAATGTGGTGTGATTTTTTTTCTCATCACAGCATTGCTGATTCATATTTAGTTTGCTATCAGTCCTGAAGGTATAGCATATCCTATAACATGCATTTCCAGTTACTTTGCAATCTCTTAACCTAGCTAGCCTTTACATGTTATCCAAGTGTGTGGGTTATTTTTCCAGTTCTAGCAAGTTCACCCCCAGGTGCATACCTAAGAGCAATGGAAACGCGCACAAAAACTCATCCACAGATGTTCACAGCGGCACTAGTCAGTACAGCCAAAGTGAAAACAACCCGCAAGTCTATCCATTAATAAAAAGACAAATAAAATGTAGTATACCCATACAATGGAATATATTTGGCAATTAAAAGAAATGAAATATTGACACATGCCACAATATGGATAAATCTTGAAAAACTTATGCGAAGTGAAAAAAGTCAGTCACAAAACACACACACATATTACATAATTCCATTTATATGATATGTCCAGAATAGACAAACCTATAAAGATTAAAAATAGATTAGTGGTTGCCTAGGGGGAAAGGTTTATTGGAAATGACAGCTAAAGAGTACAGGGTTTGCTTCTGAGGTAATGAAAATGTTCCAAAAATGACTATGATAATGGTTGCACAACTCGGTGAACGTATTAAAAATTACTAAATTGTACCCTTTAAATGAGTGAACTGGCCCTGGCCAGTTTGGCTCAGCGGTTGGAGCGTCGGCCTGCGGTCCAGAGAGACCCTGGTTCAGTTCCTGCTAAGGGCATGTACCTTGGTTGCAGTTTGTCCCCAGCGCTGGTTGGCTGTGCGGGTGGCAGCCACTCAATGTGTCCCTTTCACATCGATGTTTCTCTCTCTCTCTTTCTCTCTCTCTTCCTCTCTCTCTCTCCCACTGTGTCTGAACAAAAAATGGAAAAATGTCCTTGGGTGAAGATAAAAAAATAAAATAAAATAAATAAATAAATAAATAAATGAGTGAACTGTATGGTAAGTTAATCTTATCTCAATAAGACTTATTAAAAATATAAAAATTACTTAAAAAGTCAACTTTCTTGCCACTCTCCAGGACAGCCCCATTTTCTCTGGTCCCCTTTACAGAAAAATTCCTGGGGAGAGTTGTCAGAGAAGGGAGGTTAAAAACATGGAAAAGAGAAGATAAGAATAAACCCTGTGGTGTTCTACTGGAATTGGAGATCACTGAGCACTGTGCGCGCGCGCGTGTGCGCGTGTGTGCGCGTGTTCCCCCCCTCCTTTCTGTTTTCCTAGTTGGTCACTGAGAGGCCCTAGGAGCACAGCACACTGAGCATCATATCAACAGCAATAGAGAAAGGCAATAAATACATAGTGCGTTTCAAAATCTATACAACAAAATGTACACTTTAAATTGTATTTTAATATATTTTTGGAAGCCTCCTTCAAAATGAGTAAACATTTTTTGAAAAATTATAAATGTAATATATTATGCCCCTTATGATAGATATTATATTAGAAAATAGCCAAGAGCCAGCAGGAGTGAATTCTGATGAATAACATAAATAATCTACATAATACCAATTTTAGTCAAAATGTATTTTGCAGAAAATATATGAGGCCAAGTGTTATTCTGGATCTGTGTTATTTGTTATTAAGTAGTTCCTTATATTTAAAACACACAATAGGACTTTCAAATACTCACTTCCAATTCTACTGAAAGATCCCAGAGACATATCTGTCCATCATGGCATCCGGTTACGACGGTGGCCCCATCATCTGTTAAAAGTACCGCTGAGATGCAATGTGTTGGTGCTTTGCGACCCCAAAGAACGATAGGTAGAACAAGGCTGTTTCCTGCCATTGTGTTTTCAAACCTGGAAATGTTATCAGAATAATGTCAAATATTACAATATTTCCTTCTAAAATATATGATACATTTTATTATGAAGCCAACTTGAACTTCCGAAGCCTGAGAATTCTTTTAAACATTACATATAATAGATGCATATACAAAAATACATAAAATCTTGTTTTTATATATATGTAAAATGTAATTAAAACCCCAATTAATCCTTACAACAAATCCTGCAGTAGGCTCTCCTGTCACTCCTCTTTTACAAATAAAGTCAGTGAGTCATAAGGAGTCGCAGAGTGAAAAATGAAGGAGCTCCGATCAGAACCCAGGCAGCCTGACCTCAGAACCTGTGGTCTGACTCTGCTATGCTGCCAACAAGTAAGGTCTCCGAATCTTTTTAAGTCTCCAAACCAGTAATAAACATCAATGCCCAGGAAAAACTCAGTGCTTTTGCACAGTTCTAAACATTAAAAAGAGTATGATCATTAAGAAACTCATTTAACCAATCCGGCCAGTGTGGCTCAGTGGTTGAACATCGACACATGCAGCAAGAGGTGGCGGGTTTGATTCCCGCCCAGGTTGTGGGACAAATCCCCAGTAGGGGGCATGCAGAAGGCAGCCGATCGATGTTCTCTCTCCTCGATGTTTCTCTCTCTCTCTTTAAAATCAGTAAAGGAAAAAAAAATATTTGGAAAAAAAAAGAAACTCATTCAACCATATTTAGTACAAACCTATTATATCTCAAGATCATGAGTGTCTTTAGCGAAACTTGAGGGAAAAAAGAAGTTCTCTTTAAATTGCTTTCTGCATAATAAAAATTCAATTCTAGCAAAAGTTTTACATTTGAGATCAACAACCAACTAACCAGTGTATACTGGAATACTCCTCTTACAGGAAAAGCACAAATAAGGAATTAGTCCTTCAGAGGACAAAATTAAGATCTATTTGGTGAAACGACTAGATTTAAGTGTTATTAACTGTGTGGTTAAAGACCCAAATACTAATTCAGACAAGTCAGAGAAATGAAGGCTGGAATAATCAGAGGCCTTCACAGAAAACAGAAGACTGCCAGGTCTCATGAGACATTAGGGGCCACCTAGAGGCCTGGCAGATGGTCAATCAAAAGAAACGTCACTGTGCCCTGGCCAGTTTGGCTCAGCGGTTAGAGCATCGACCTGCGATCCCGAGAGGCCCGGGTTCGGTTCCCGCTAAGGGCGCGTACCTCGGTTGCAGTTTGTCCCCGACCCTGGTTGGTCGTGCGGGTGGCAGCCACTCGATGTGTCCCTTTCACATCGATGTTTCTCTCTCTCTCTCTCTCTCTCTCTCTCTCTCTGTTCCTGTCTCTCCCTCCCACTCTACCAGAAAAAAAAAAAAAAAAGAAAGAAAAAATGTCCTCAGGTGAGGATAAAAAAAAAAAAGAAACGTCACTGTAGTGCTTTTTATGCCCAAGATTTTTAAGTGACAACAAACATGTGTGTATAACTATACACTCTTTAGACTGTCCTAAGAAATTTTCAATAATACTCAAAGGAATAGCCACTTTTTATTAAAAAAACTAGAATTTGAACACCATGGTCTTATTGCTAGTTGCTTTTAGCAAGTATCTTCCTTAAACTACTACCTACTCTCCTTAAATAAAACATAAAATATCTTTTAAAAAAGAGCCTGGCCAGTGTGGCTCAGTGGTTAAGCACTGACCCATGCACCAAGAGGTCACCAGTTTGATTCCCAGTCAGGGCACAGGCCCAGGTTGTGGGCCAAATCCCCAGTGGGGGGCATGCAGGAGGTGGTCAATCGATGTTTTCTCTCATCAATGTTTCTCTCGCTCTCTCTCTTCTTCTCTAAAATCAATAAAGAAAAAAAATTTTTTAAAGAATAGTCACTAGGACTTCCGGTCAAGATGGCGGGTAGGTAAACGCGGTATCATGTCCTCCCACAACCACATCAAAGTTACAACTAAACTACAGAACAACCGTCATTCAAAACTGCCTGAAATCAAGCTGAATGGAAGTCCTACAACTACGGGATTAAAGCAGCAGCCACAGGAGACTGGTAGGAGGGTGGAGGGGACGGGCTGGGCCCACACCCACGTGTGGTGGATAAAAATCAGGAGGACACCTAGGCTGGGAAGGTCCTTCCTGAGGACTGGGGGGTCCCCGTCCCACACCAGGTGCCCCGCTCAGGGTTCCAGTGCCAGGAAGAGAATCCCCATCACTTCTGGCTGGAAAAACCAGCGGGAACTGAGGCTCAGGGAGGCTGACCCGGCTGGAGCCCCAGGCAGCTCCTTAAAGGGTCCGCGCACGGACTTATCGGACTCTCTCCCTCTACGCTTGGAGGGGAGGCAGCTCGAGGGGCGCCAGAGACATACAGGGAAGAACTGAGCTGTTTGGCACTGGAGCGAGGGCTGGAGAGGGGGCTTTCTCCAGGAAAAACATGCTGTCAGAGGCCTTTGTTCCTTTGGTGAGCCCTTCCCTGGGGCGGCAGACAGAAGCCATATCTGGGACTCCAGCAACCTGGCTCACACTGGTAGCCCCGCCCTGCCGACTCCCTGAGGCCCCACCCCACCCAACTTTCAGGCCCACCCAAGCTGTTGCCACTTGCTTAACCATAGGATTGGCTTGTCTTGGATCCTGCTTCAGGTTTTCCTAAATTCTTTCAAACGAGCAGCATATGGTCTCAGCGAACCCCATACCTCTCATTAAATAATACACAGAAACAAACACAGGGAGGCAGCCAAAATGAGGAGACAAAGAAACAGGTCCCAAATAAAATAACAGAACAAAACCCCAAGAAAAGAACTAAGCGAAATGGAGATAAGCAACCTAACAGATGCTGAGTTCAAAATACTGCTTATAAGGATGCTCAATGAACTTAGTGAGAACCTCAGTGAACTTAGGGAGGGCCTCAAGAGCATAAAAAAGGACCAGTCAGAAATCATGGATACACAGTTAGAATTGAAGGAGGCATCAACTGAAATAAAGAATAATTTACACAGCTTCAATAATAGAGTACGTAAATCCAAGGAGCAAACCATCGATTTGGAATATAAGGAAGCAAAAAATGCCCAATCAGAACAGCAAAAAGAAAAAAGAATCCAACAAAATGAGGATAGCATAAGGAGCCTCTGGGACAACTTCAAGCGTGCCAACATTCGCATCTTGGGGGTGCCAGAAGAAGAAGAGCGAGAACAAGAAATCGAAAACCTGTTTGAAACAATAATGGCAGAAAACTTTCTTAACTTGGTGAAGGAAACAGACATACAAGTCCAGGAAGCACAGAGAGTCCCAAACAAGATGAATCCCAAGACACATCATCATCAAAATGCAAAAGGTTCCAGACAAAGAGAGAATCTTAAAAGCAGCAAGAGAAAGGCAGCTAGTTACCTACAAGGGAGTTCCCATTAGGCTGTCAGCTGATTTCTCAAAAGAAACTTTGCAGGCCAGAAGGGAGTGGCAAGAAATATTCAGAGTGATGAAAAGCAAGAACCTACAACCAAGATTACTCTATCCTGCAAAGCTGTCATTTAGAATCGATGGACATATAAAAACTTTCCCAGACAAGAAAAAGTTAGAGGAGTTTATCACCACCAAACCGTTATTATATGAAATGATGCAGGGTCTTTTTGAAGAAAAAGATAAAATATATGAACAAACAAAATGGCAATGAATACATATCTATCAACAATGGAATCTACAAACAAAATGAACAGGTAGAACAGAAACATTCTCATAGATACAGAGAACATTTTGTTGGTTGCCAGTTGGGAGGGGGGTTGGGGGAATGGGTGAAAAAGGTGAAGGGATTAAGAAGTACAAATTCATTGCTAGACTGACAAACCTCAAAAGGAAAGGGGTTGGGGGAGTGGGAAGAAATAAACCAAAGAACTTATATGCATAACCAATGGACACAGACAATAGTGTGGGAAAAGGTGGGAGGGGGGCGGGAGGGGGGAGGAGGGGATCAATGGGGGGAAAATGTGGAACATCTGTAATACATTTTACATCCAACAATAAAGATTAAAAAAAAAATAGTCACTAGAAAATTGGGCAAGTAAAAAATTATGATTGACGTTGAAATGTTTACTAAAAACAATCTTATAGTGCATCTTTTACATTTTATTAGAATACATGGCTTTCATTAGTTTTTTTTCTCCCAAAACTTCATTTTTTTGCTATAAGCATAAGGTATACATTTAAAGAAAAAAAATTCCAAGTTTACTTTCTGTTAATAAAACCCAAATTGTATCATGTTCACCATTTCACAACCTACCATGACACCGACCATTATCTCCATATCCCTATTTGATATCAGAAAATGAAACAAAGCACTGAACCAATTTTAATAAACTTGGTACAGCATGTTCCTGGCTGAATAACATATCTAACAATGATTTTCTCAAAATGAGAACCTGGATGGAGTTCATTTTTCCATGGTGACAACATTCAGTTTTAAACTCCAGCACCCAAAGAAGATTTCTCCCAATCAAATAAGCTCACAGCATGGAACGCAGTACAGTGAGATCTGGAAAGAACACAATTTCTCTAGATATCTGAGGACTCGTAGTCAGTGCACACGGCCCAGCTTAAAGAGAAGGCAAATGTATAGATTCAGGACTAAGGAATGTGTATGCTGCAGAGGGATGTGCTCCTCTGATGCAACAGGAAGGACATTCTGGCATTTAAGTGACAAGTCAACTCAAAGATCTGGGAGAAGAATGCATTGCAGAGCCCTCAAAACAAGTGAAAATACTCATCTATAACATGATAAAGGTGTAGCTCATGTCACTAGAAAACATGTCGAACTTTAACTCAGCTTCTCCAGAAGCTGAAATAATGACACAGATTTAAGAAAAAAACAAATCCCCGGTCCTCACAAAAAGATCAAGAACTGACAGTCAACCACAATCTGACAGTTCTCATGAAGGGCAATTAAGGCTCTCACAAGGGACTGGATTAGTTTCCTAGAGCTGCCATGACCACAAACTGAGTGGCTTAAACAACAGAATTTATCGTCTCACAG